CTCTCTCTCTCTCTCAGATACAAAGTCTTACTACATTGCCCAGTCTGGTCTCAGACTCCTGGCTCCAATCAGTCCTCCCACCTGGACCTCCCGAAGTGCTGGGATGACTGGTGTGAGCCACCGCGTCCAGCCAATTATTTAAAATTTATTTCTTGAAGGCAAGACAAGATATGTTAGTGCAGGTTAAAAAGAAAACTGGCCATCGGCAAATCAGTCGCGGAACAAGAAATCGGGTTTTCAAGTCTTTGATCTGAACATGTGTGCCGGCCCCACCTTTTTTATTTTTCATTTTTCTGACTAGGCTGTGACCGTTCATGCTGGCTTCTCCTTTTCCCCAGAAAGGTTAACGTCCCAGGGCAAAGGTGGGGTGGGTTTGCTTCTTTTGTTTTTTGTTTGGAGTCAGAGTCTCACTCCATCCTCCAGGCTGGAGTACAGTGGCACAAACACCACGGCCTCCACCTCCTGGGCTCAGGCGATCTTCTGCTTCAGCCTCCCGAGTCGCTGGGACTACAGGCGCCCACCACCATGCCCGGCTAATCTTTTGATTTATTTGTAGAGACAAGGCCTGGCTATGTGGCCCAGGCTGGCCTCGAATTCCTGGGCTCAAGCAGTCCTCCCGCCTCAACCTCCTAAAGTGCTGAGATGACAGGCATGGAATCCCAAAACCTGAAGAATCCGTGCTCTAGATGCCAAAGCCAAGGTTGAGTTTTAGCACAGACCAAAGGACCTTAGGCCCGGCGGAGGGGGGCAAATTCGCAATTCTTAACCTTGAGGGGGCTCCCAGTCACCTGGTCCTTGGCTGGGGGAGACCCAGAAAGCTGCATCTCCAGCCAGCATTGGCTACCGCCCACCTCTGCGGGCATGTCCTCAACTTTGAGAAATGTTGGTTAGTTACTCTCTGATAACCCATCCCAAGGACCTTTTTTTATTGGGAAAGTTAAGATTCCACCGAAAGCCTAACTCAAGGGTTTTATGCCCCAGGAGTTGAACTCCTTGATGATGCTAGGGAACAGCACCTCCTGCCCCTACTTGGCCCCGGCAGTCCCTGGGGTACCTGGAATAGCCCGGACTCTGGGCCACACGGCGTGATCGGCCCCTGCCCACCCTCCCACCACTCACTATCCTAGAGTCCCGGCCCTCTCTCTATTGGACAGGACAAGTTCACTCCTACCCCAGGGCCTTTGCACGAGCTCCCCTCTGCCTGGCATGCTCTGTATGGAGCTGTTCTCATGGCTGCGACTGCTTCCTTTTCAGCATTCAGTCTCCCCTGATGAATTGTTCTAAGATTGCCGCCTCCGTTCGCTTGTCTCATCGTAGATCTGGTTTGATCTTCATAGCTGAAGCTCCCTCGCGCGTGTGTGTGTGTGTATTTGGCTGCTCCCTCGACTCCAAGAAGGCAGGGTCTTAATTTTGTTGCCTGCTGAATTCCCCCCAGTTCTTAATATAAGGCTGGGCATGCAGAAAATATTTATATTTGTTGACTAAATGAATGAATGCCAGCCGGGTCTCTCAGGAGAGACCACTGAGGAATTGGGGTGACACTGGGTACTTCCTGGGGGTTGATGTGGTTAGCACTCCGCCAACCAGGTCGCCCCGCAGGGACTGAGCCCCCACCGGCTTGGGCCAGCACCGAGTCCCCGTCACTGACGAGCCTCTTCCTGTCCCTCCAGACCTCAAGCATCTGCAAAACGGCCGTGCACGCAGGCGTCATTGTGAACGAGAGCGGGGGCGACGTGGACGTGATGCCCGTGGACAAGAAAAAGGCCTACGTGGGCTCGCTCAGGAACGGGGTGCAGTCGGAAAGGTAGGCTGCAGGCTTCGCCGCCCGGCATCCGGGAGGGTCCTGGTCTGAGTCGATTCCTTAAAACAGGATGCAGATCAGCTCCCATGGCTCTCCACCGGGGCACCTGGGCGAGTTGGGTCCTCCCTTCTTTCTTTAGTTTTTCAAAGTAAGGACTTTTTTCTTCTTACCAGTACATGTTTTTGTAACAAATTTGGATACGCTCCCTCCAAAAAAACAGATGCCCCATCACCCGCTGCTGGGAGAATTACTGTCAGACTTGTTGGTGTGTATCCTCCTGGGTGTACGTGTGTGTGTGTGTGTGTGTGAGTGAAAGGGGATCCAGTTACAGCTAGAACATAGTTATGTAACGCTATGTGATCACATCGTTAGGTCAAATTACATAAGAGCAGAGAGTGTGGAGTCCAACACACCTGGACTCGTCTGTGGAATGGGGCGATCCCAGTCCCCGCCTCACAGGGTGGCAGGAAGGTTAACGGAGAGGGTAGCGGCTCAAGGCCCAGCAGTCATAAGTGCTCTGTCAGTAAAAGTTACACGAATTGCTCTATATTTTCACCTGAGGGATCCTGGAGGTTCTTAAAGCTTACCTGCATCTTAGCATGGCCGCACAGATGGCGTCTGATGACTGCACCGTGCTCCACTTGTGGTTGGAGGGCTGAGTCCTTTTCTGTCCTGTTGACGTTGGGTGAGGTGTGGTGTGGTCCTCCGTGGGTTCCGACGCCGGGTGGGGTGCGGCATGTTGCTCCGTGGGTTCTTTTGAAAAGAAAAGAATTCCAGAGCGAGTCCCAGGAATAGCTTAACAGAGAGTTGGTTAGAAAGAGACGTGTCCAGCCGGGCTCGGCGGCTCAGCCTGGAATCCCACGCCTTGGGAGGCCGAGGTGAGTGGACTGCCTGAGCCCGCGGGTTCGAGACCCGCCTGGGCAACTTGGCGAGACTTCATCTCTACAATAAATTCAAAAATTAGCCGGGCGTGGTAGCACATGCCTGTGGTTCCAGCTACTCCGAAGGCTGAGGCGGAAGGATCGCCGGAGCCCAGCAGGTCGAGGCTGCGGTGGCCGGGAGCGGCCACTGCACTCCGGTCTGGGCCACAGAGTGAGACTCTGACTCACAAAAACAAAAAGAAAAGAAAGAGACGTGTCCAGCGGGCATGGGCGCCTTGAGAGAAGGAACCCATGCTTGCCTTGACAAGAAGTGTTAGATTCTTTTGCAGCCATGATTGAGCAAACCGTGAGCTGAGAGAGGTGGGCTGCAGGTGTCTGGTCCTGAGTTTTGGTGACCGTCTCCCGCCTTCTAAGGTCACAAGAACCTACTAAGTAATGAAAGTCACGGCTTCACTGGATTTGGGCTTTTCTGAGAACATCCTGCCTGTGTTTTGGGGCACTCCCTCTCACTTCTGTGATTTCCAGCTCTGGTGGACCCACACCCCAGCCCGCAGGGGGGTCAGGTCTGGCATGCCTGGTTGGAGGGTGAGGGTCGTGCACCGGTAGGAAAGACGGCGGAATGCCAACCCTGTTCTCGTTTAGAGCTTCCTGCAGGAAACTCACCTGTCTGCGTCTCACCTGCAGTGAATGGTGTGGCCCCTGTGGGGCTGAGCCTCCTTCTTGGGGATGTCTGCACACACCTGGACTGTGTCCCCTTCAATCTCTAGAAGTGACGTTTCTGGGCCCAAGCCTGGGCAGACTTCTGAGGCTTTGTGCGGCTTTCTAGAATGTTCTTTGGAAAGGGCCCAGCCCAGGTTCCGGCGGCCAATGCACGCTCACTCTCACCCACTTCACTGTCGTCCCCGGAGGCGAGTCGCGGGACCCCCGTCCCTGGGTTTCCTCTTGGGAGCTTCAGGGTAGCAGAGAAGGCATGGGTCTCTCCGAGCCTCGACCCGTTCATCTGTGAAACGGGAATGACGGCCTCACCCACCTGGGGAAGAGCCAGGCTGGGGTGGCGGGTGGGGAGAGGGGGTGCCAGTCAGCTCGGGCTTCCCTGCAGAGTACCACAGGCTGGAGGAAACGGCAGGAATGAAGTCCTCACGGGCCTGGAGCCACAGGTCAAGGTCAAGGTGCCACGAGGGCTGGCTCTTCCTGAGGCCTCTCTCCTGGGCTGCAGGCGGACGCCTCCTCCCTGTGTCCTTGAGTGGGCCCCTGGGTATGTCCTCATCTCCTCCTACGAGGACACTGGTCGACTGGATGAGGATCACCTCACAGCCTGCCCGTCCCCTCTTCAGAGGCCCTGTCCCAGATACAGTCACATTCTGAGGTGCAGGAGCTTTGAGGGAACTTAGTTCACCCCATAACAGGCAAACGCTGAAGATTCTACACCGGAGGGCCCTCTTTAGATCAGGACTATGAGGCCAGGTATGGTGGTTCACGCCTGTCATCCCAGCGATTTGGGAGGCCGAGGTGGGAGGATCGCTCAAGCCCAGGAGTTTGAGACCATCCTGGGCAACATAGTGAGAGCTCATCTCTACAAAAAAATTTAAAAATCAACCAGGCGTGGTGACACGTGCCTGTGGTCCCAGCTGCTCAGAAGGCTGAGAGAGGGGGTGTGGCCTGAGCCCAGGAAGTTGAGGCCATGGTGAGCCATGATCGTGCCACCATACTCCAGCCTGGGTGACAGAGTGAGACCCTGACTCAAAAAAAAAGAAAGAAAAAAAAAAAAAAGAAAAATGACAAAATCAAGACTGTAAAACATTCCAGGCCACTAGAAGTTTCAGCTTTCATGGCTTCCTGGGACACAGCCCCCTCCCAGTCCCAGCCCCCGGGAAAGGTGTGTGGTGGTGACGGTGTCCGGCTGCTCTCAGGCCTCCCCGGCCCCTCCCCAGGCCTCCCCGACCTGGCTGC